ATAGGCTTAAATAAGATAAGTTTAATTATAGCTTTATATAACTCTCTCTTAACTAAACTACAACGTGCTATAGTAGAAGAACCTCTTCTAAACAACCTTAACACATATGTAAACCTAATTACTACCTATAATAATAACATAAAGTTTCTTCCTATACAAGCCCTAATACACCTCTAAACTAGCGCAGTTATAAATAAGGACTTTAATGTAATAAAAATTAATTTAAATTATGCTCTAGTTAGTTCTAAAAAGTATAAAAATTATAAAAAAAAAAGTTAATACTTTAAGTGTAGTAAGCATAGTTATATTTTTTAAAACTACTTTATTCTCTTTTTTTAAGTCTATATAAGTAGCACTACTAGTACTTATTAAAGATTTTTACTATTTTAATCTTATTTTTATAAGGGCTTTAACTTATATTTAAGCCCTAATTTTTTTTACTACTTTTAACGTAGCTGCAGCTATAGCAGTAGAAGCCTATAAAAAGGCTTGTTCTAGGGCTAAGTTACCTTTTAGAACTAATTTAACACTAAATTTTTACTAACTTATAAGCTAAGTTTTCTACTAATAACTAGAAGTACTAAGTTAATATTCTTATATATTTATAATAAAAAACTATATTAGCTTTAATATAAGCTTTTATTAACTTAGAAGTAAATAGCATAAGTTATATTAATAAAGAACTAGCATATAAACTAAATCTTTAATTAATACTACTTACCTAAATAATTTACTTAACTAGATTTAATAAAAAATAACTTAAAAAAAGTTCTATTTTTTATACTATAACTATTATAATTACTTACTAACACTATAAAGAGCAGATTAAGCTTTATGTAATAAACATAAAATGTTATAACTTAATTCTAAGATAACTATAGCTATATTAGCATAAAGTTACTTTTAATTACTAAAAGTAAGTTTTAAACTTTAACTCTTTCTAATGCTAAAATATATGCTTATGCTTACACCTAAATAACACCTAAGTAGCACTTAATATAAAAGGTTTCTAAACTTACTTTTTAATAACTTAAAAAAAAACTACTTAAGTAAAGCTAATAAGCTAGGCCTTTTACTAAGATAAGCTATATAAAATAATTTAATAACTACTTAAACTTAAAAAAAAAAAAGCTTTTAAAAAATTTTTACTTACTTAATATAAACATAAACTAAGACTTAAATAGTAGATAGACATCTACTACATAGAACTTACTTTATTTATAACTCTAGCTTAATAACTAGATTATAAAATCTACATAGTTATAATTTCTAATATAGACTAAGCTTTAGCTCTTTAAAAATGCACTAACTTAAAAATAATAGTCTCTTAAGACTACTATAACCTATTACATGTTTTTTTTAAGACAAGTTTAATAAGCTTTTAATATAACATTTATATAATTACTAAATAACTCTTAAGCCTAGTAAACAACCTAGTTATAAGCTACTATATAAAATGTTACTAAATAAATTAAAAGTGCTCTAAAAATACTTTAATAAAAACTTAAAAAAAAAGTTTATTTAAGCTAGCTTCTTACTAGTAGTGTTACTTATACTATTTATAAAAAAACCTAAGAGTAGGCTTTAATTCTATGTTAACTACTAAAAACTAAATACTATTACTATTAAAAACTAATACTTAATTTTTTTTATAAGAAACTCTAAGCTAACTAAGTAAAGTAAAGTATTTTATAAAGTTAGATATTATTACTACCTTTAATAAGCTAAAGATAGTAAAGAGTAATAAGTAGCTAATAGTGTTTTAAACCTAATATAGACTATTTAAGTACTTAGTAATGCTCTTTAGCTTAGCTAACACGCCTAGTACTTTTTAACATTTTATAAATAACTTACTCTAACCCTACCTAAACATGTTCTGCACTATGTATATTAACAACATTCTAATCTATAGTAATAGCCTTTTAAAGCATAAACAGCATGTACACCTAGTGCTAAAGGCTATAGAAGAAGTAGGTCTATAACTTAATGTAGACAAATATAAGTTTTACTAATTAAAGGTTACATATTTAGAATATATAATCTTTATAGATAGCATCTAAATAGACCTTATTAAAGTTTAAACTATGCTAGATTAGTAATACCTAAAGAATATAAAGGATATTTAAGCTTTTATAAAATTTACTAACTTTTACTAATAATTTATTAATAACTTTTTACAGTAAGTAAGCTTTATAATTACACTTACTAAAAAAAAAATTTAATTTAACTTTAACTTAAATTACTAATAGTCTTTTAACTAGCTAAAAAAAGCTTTTACTAAAGCTTTAATACTTTACTACTTTAACTTTAAACTACTAATACTTGTAAAAGCTAATGCCTTAGACTACATAGTAGCAGAAGTTCTCTCCTAGACTAAGCTAGATAGGACTATTAGGCCTATTACATATTTCTTAAAAAGAATAAGTCTTATAAAAGGTAATTATAAGATCTATAATAAGAAATTACTTACTATAGTACACTACTTTAAATAATAGCAACTTAAACTAGAAAGTGTAGTGCATCTAATACAGGTCCTATCTAACTATAAGAACTTATAGTACTTTGTAACTATAAAATAACTTAGCTACTAACAAGCTTATTAGTTTAAATACTTATTTTATTTTAATTTTAAAATTACTTATTATTCTAGTTAAAATAAAGAGAAACTAGATGCTTTTATAAGGCAATTCTAAAACATTTTTGCTTAAAAAAAAGTGTAAAAAGCTTAACACTAAACTTTACTTTAACTTAAGCTATTTTTAGACCTTAACTTAAATAAAATAAATTAAATAATTAATTAAATTATTACTAATAAGTATTTAAATAATAAATTTATCTAAGAAACTTTAAACCTACTCTAAAATAGCACTAGTTAGTTAAAAAAGATAACACTAGCTAACTATAAAAACTAAAATAGTAAGCTATATTACTATAACTAACTTATAATTTTTAATTTTAATAAACTAAAAATTAAACTACTCTAAATTATACACAACTTGCCTGTTAAAAGACACCTAGGCAGAGAAAAGACTTTTAACCTACTATAGAGAGAGTACTACTAGCCCCGCATGTTCTATACTATACGCTAATACATATTATGTTGCTATACTTGCTGTAAAGTAAAGGCCTTTTAAAAAAGGTATAATAGCCTACTTAAACTGCTCTTAATCTCTAAATAAGCTTAAAAAAACATATTAATTAATTTTATTATAGACCTACTTTTATCTAAAAAGTATATAAATATTATAGTAGTTATTAATTACTTAACTAAGTATTAACACTTAATACTATGTTCCTCTATAACTGCTTCTAATATAGCCTAGTTATTTTACTAATATGTATAAGTTTACTATAGCCTGCCTAACATAATTATATTAAATAGAGGTACACAGTTTGTCTTAGCCTTTTAGAATAAACTTTATAAATAGCTCTAAATTATTCTTTATTTATTTACAGCTTTTTACCTAGAGACTAATAGCTAGACTAAGAACATAAACACTATAATAAAATAAGTCTTATAAGTATACATAAACTACTAGTAAAATAACTAGGTAAAATAGTTAGCTATAGCATAGTTTAAAGCTAATAATATAACATTTAAATTAACATAAGTATTTTTGTTTTTAGTAAACTATAGATACTACCTTTAAATAAAATTTAAACTACTTTTAAATACCCTTTAACTAACTTATTAATTTATATAAGTAATAAATATAAATAGACTTATTAATAAAATTTAAAATATATTTAAATATATTTATAAAAAGCTTACATAAGCTTAAGCTTTTTAATAAGAGTACATAAACTAATTCTAAACCTCTACCCCTGCGTATGCAGCTAGTAAAAAGGTCTAGCTAGACACTAGAAATATCTAAATAAACTAATAATTAAAGAAACTTAATTAGAAGAACTTTAGCCTTTTTATAGTAGCTTATATAGTTTTATTGCACGCTTATTAATTAATTCTACCTAACAGCATAAAGATACACCCTGTGTTCCACGTATTATTACTGCGCTAAGCAGCCTCTAAATCTAACTATCTACCTAGATAGCTAAACCTGCTACTTAAACCTATTATTATAAATAATAAACTAAAATATGTTATAAAAAACATTAAATAAATTTAGTTTAATAAAAAAAAACTTATTTATAAATACTTTATAAAATAAACTAGATATAACAAACTGTTGTAAGAACTTACAGAAGCCTTATAAAAGAACTCTATAGTAACCTAATTCTACGCCTAATACTTATCTAAACTAAACCTATACCCTAACAAAGACAACCTAATGCTAGAACTACTAATATAAAGGATTCCCTTCCTAATAAGGAGGGAGGTACTGTTATAGTATCCTTCCTAGATCCTAGACATAACTGTATTAGACGTGTACTAGAGTATTATTAGTGCACGTCTAACATAAATACAACATAACATAGATATAAACTTAAGTATAAACTGCCTTAACACTAACTAAACCTAAAATAGGCTTAATTTATACTTAAAGCGCTTAGACTTCTAAGCTAAGTATTTAATTACTAATTTCTTTTTAAACTTTCCTGTTTCTTACATAATGTCTTGTACCTACTATAATACCTTACGTAGTAATTAAACTAGACCTCTGTGAAGCTCTATAACCTTACTCGTGCACAATCGTGACAACTTGTTAGAGAAGCGCATCGTCCGTCTCTTCTAGTTAAAGCGCCGCCATGCTCTGTCCCACGCGCGCCTCCTGCCTGCTGTGGCGCAGTTAATCTTAGGTCTGCGCTTGCAGCAAAAGTTAGTGAGATTAAACTTCTTAAGCGTACAATAGGCAGTCTTAGTAGATATGTGTAGCGTAAGGCTAGTCTCTTTAAGCAGCGTTTTGTACTCTATTTTTAGATATTTTTAAGCCGTTTAAAATAGCAGGCGCTTAGTACAACGCAATAGCTTAGAGGGGCGTCTAGATTAATAGCGTGAAAGATTGCAGCTAGTTGCTTTCCGGCGCGCAATTGTAGTGTTAATGCAGCGCGTTGTGCAGGAGAATTCCTCTACCAGTTCTGCAGCAGAAACGCCAGCCTCAGACTTTAAAATAATTAACTCCCGCTGCTGCACTAATAACTCAGCATTCTGGCGACAATTATGTGAAATTTCCTTGCTAAAAGACCTTATAGTGGCTGCGCAATTGATAGTAGAAAGATGGTGTTGTGTTTGTCGCGTTTCTCGGTTACGCGTTGCGGGAACAGACTTTTGTCTTAGCACTGTATTTATCGTATTCAAAAATCGGTGCAATGCTTGGCGTCACCCTCGCCCTTTTTTTCGCGCGCGTATTTTGCTAGCAAACTGCAAATTGCCCTATGCAGCCACAAATCGCCCTATAATATTAATTAGTTAGGTAAAAAAGATAAGGCTATTTAAGTACACATAACAGGCTATACTAACAGCTTTTCTAGTGTAATAGGACCCTATGTTTTAAGCTCACAGCGTTGCTGCTGCGCTAACGCGCTAACGCGTCCTAAACCTCTAACCTATACCTCTTATCTACAAGCAAGGATTAAGTAGTTGTACTAGGCTTAATATTTAGCGCTTTCTCTTACTAGGATAGCCTGTTAAAGCAATTACTAACTATAAGAACTGCTCTAAGTAAGCTATTTATAACATAGAGAAAAATCTTAAGGTGTTTAGCACTACTTAAAAGCTTTTAACAGTAACACTTAAGCAGCCTATTAAAATAGGCGCTTAAGACGCTAACGCGCTCTATAATAAGCTAATGCAAAGTAAGTAGATGTATTAAAATAAGATTTACTACTAGTTACTTATAAAAAAAGGTGTTTATGTTAGTTAACTAACTATCTTACAGTTTTTAAAGTAAAAGAGGTAAAGTAAGTGTACCTTACAGCCTTTCTTAATTTATTATAATAAGCAACTCTATAAGATGTTCTACTAAAGCCTTAAGCAGTTTACTGCTAATAACCTTTATTTTATTAACAAGTTTATTTTTAATAAGAAAACTAGCTAGAGGCACTACACATACGCGCTAGTAGGCTATAAAGTGTAATATACCTAGAAAATAAAGTAAGGGGCCACTTAGGCAATTCTACCTGCGTACACTGTTAACAGCTACCTACCCTGCACTAGTATTAAAGAGGGTTACTTTGCCTATAAAGATTTTAAAGATTAAATCTAAAACACGCTTCTACTAACTCTCTAGACAACATACAGCTTTAAACTAATAGTTATAATTATAGATAACATCTCTATCTATTAGAATTCTAAGGTTGTTAAGATAATTAAATAAGATAGTTATATTATACACTTTCTACTACTATACTTGCCTAACTTTAACTTAATTAAGCTTATATTTAGAGTACTTAAGGCGTAAATTTAGCAGAATTATAAGTATATTTAAGTGTGTTTTTTAAACTTTAGCAACTTTTTGCAGGCGTGTATTTAAAAGAGTAAATATAATAAGTTTACTAGAAAACACTTTAAGTACTCTATAAGCAAATTATATATAGAAGAGGCTTAATTAGTAGAGGCTAGGCGCAAGATAGTAAGGTAGAGAGAGTAGATAAGAAAAGGCAAGCTGTAGAGGGCAATAGTTTAATATAATTTTATATAAAAGCTTACTAACCTTTCTCTACTTGTCTGTTGCTAACTATAATAATCTACCTTAATTACTACCTGTTAGCCCTGCTAGAGCTACTGCAGCCTAGTAGTATTGCTTGTAGCAGTAGATATTTTCTTGTAAGTGTTAAACAACTTTATTTTTAAGCTTAAAAAGTTTACTAATAGCAAGTTTATAAAGCTTACTGCTTACAGCTAATATCTCTTTTAAATCTTTAATAGTCTACTTTTACTTGCTTGCCACCTTTACTGTGTAAAAGTAGTTCTCTTAGTTATTTTCTAGCTGCTGTTTAACTAGCTACTTAAAGAACTTCTTTATAGTACTATAAGAGTTGCTACTATTAGTAACAAAGCTTAAACTAATAGTAATAAGCCCTAAAGCAGCAGCACTAGCTAGGGTAAAAGGCCTCTAAGAAACTAGCTGCAGGTAAGGTAAGTACTGCGCAGTAATAGCAGGGTAGCTACTAGCTAACGCAGCAGCAGGGTACATAAAAGGCAGAATAATTTGCAGAAACTAGGCGCTAAAAACACCTATATTTTGCTAAGATTTAATCTATTTATAGTAAGTAAGCTCTATTTACTACTACTTGTGTTGCTAATTTTTATTTTACTACACTTAAATCTTATCTTTTTTCTACTACCTACGCCTTTAATCTTTTTTACTACTATTAGAGTTACTTAAGTTATTATAACACTTACATTTTTTTACTTTTACTTTTTTTTTATTTTTAGCAACCTTAAGCTAGTTACTAGTTAAACCTTACTAGTGCTTAACTAGGCTAATTAGAGGCTAGCTTATATAAACTTTATTTTTACTGTTAAGGCAAGTAAGTGCCTATAACTTAAAGTTAACTAGTTAGATCTTAAAGTGCTTACTGCTTAGGTAGATATAACACTAATAGGTAAAGTTATTACAGTTCTTAGTGCAGCACTCTTAAATGTAGTAGATCTAGCTTTCTAACTTAGCCTATAATTTAAACTGCTTCTAGCGCTAAGTAGCCTTTATCTTATTTATTAATTACCTCTTGCGTTTAGAGGCAAACTAACTAGAAGTCACTACCTCTAGCTAGTTAGAGAACAGATTGTTAAATGCCTAGCTACGCAGAAAAGCCTTTTTAAGCAGCTTACACTTTACTTAAACCTCTACTTTAAGCTCTACTTACTTATTTAGCAACTCTTCTTTAACAGCAATTTAATAGTCTATTGCTTTAAAAAGTTAGCAGCCCTTAGTTAAGCTAAAATTATTAAAGTTAATAGTAATAAACTTAGCGCTTTTTTTACTAGTAAGCTTAAACTCTACTGCGCAGCTTACTATCTTATAAGTCTTACTTTTTACTGTTAAAGTAAGATTTTTAATTATCTTTTTAACTATCTTCTTTATTTAAAACATAGAGAAAACCCCCTAAGTCTCTACCTTTAGTAGCTGTAATACTACCCTCTTGCTGTTTACATACAGCTTATATAATATATCTAGTTGCTAAAGGTATTTAGTTAGCAGTAACAACACCCTAGCCTAAGCCTTAGGGCTACTTATTAAAAGATGTATTAGTAAAAATATTGCTCTAGGCGCAATTAGTAGTAACAACAGTAGGTTCTGCAACTCTCCTAGAGCAGTACTAACAGGCGCAGAGCTCCCCTAGGTACCTGCTAAGGGACCTACTTTAGGTAGTGCTTAAAAGCTTACTACCTTACGCGTTTTTAGTTAACTAGTCTTCTTTTAAGCCTTTAATGTAGCCTTTAAGGCTATTGTTAAGGCCTTTTTTGTAGCTGTTTAAATTAGTTGTTGTTAAGCCTTTTTAGTAGCTCTAGTTGCCCTCTAAGGCCTCTTGCTAGCTATGCTACAACACTAGAAAAGTTATTAGTATAGCCTGTTACGCGTAGTTAAATATCTTTATCTTTTTAACTAACTTTAACTAAGGACCTAGAGCGATTTGGTGGCTGCACGACGCGTTTTGCAGTTTACTAGCAAAATACGCGCGCGAAAAAAAGGCAAGGGTGACGCCAAGCATTGCACCGATTTTTGAATACGATAGATTAAACATTCTTAGGTCTAGTAGAGTTTTGCTACAGCTAAGAGGTTTGCCTTTAGCACCTAGATGTTAATAACACAGTAGATAGCCTTTATAATTGCCTCTGTATATTCATCTAGTTCTTACAGTGTAGGGTTGTCAGATTGAAGCACTGTTTCTAGGCTTCCTAAGATGAATGATGGGTTTGGATATGATGTATGGGATGATTGATTGATTGTATTGAT